ATATATTTTCACCTTGACCTCCACTCCAAGAATATTATATATTACCATAAGATAAACATAAGCGAAGTTGGTAAATCAATATCATTAATTACTTTCCGATTCTTAGAAAACATTTATGTAACTATTACATTATTTGTTTGGGTTGTATCCATTAAATATTTGAGGTTTATGTGTTATATTTCGGAATTAACCATTTAACATAATCAACCGAATTTTTTTGTTTTAATATAATTTTCGACATGTACAATATGGAAAACAAAATTCGGTTTATATTCGGTTTATATTATTACTAAGCATTGCATGGGGACAAAATATGAACGTACCAGACATAACACAATGGCACGTACATGTACGGGTCACATGCTTGGTTGGTTTATTCGAAATCTTCATTGTCGTACTTCCATGGCCATATTTCCGCTCCAAGTAACTCTTCATCCCTTCTCTTCATCACGACCACTGACAACTCCTCCCCCACTTTGTCACGAGCATCCCTTCTCTTCCTTCTTCCTCTTCCTCGTCACTTTTCACTGTAAACGCCGCGAGAGGCTATACTCGTGAACGCCGCAACGCCGCGAGCATCTATGAACACATTAAAGAGCAAGAATGAAGAAACCGAGCATCTACGACCCTCGTCTTGAAGAGCAAGGACAAAGAAACTGAACTTCTCTTCATCACGGCCACTGAAAACTCCTCCCCCACTTTGTCACGAAAGTCTATTGTGTTTATCTCTTACCATTCTTCCTCTTCCTCGTTCCTTCTCAATGTAAACGCCGCGAAGCATCTTAAACACAATGAAGAGCAAGGACGAAGTAACCGAGCATCTATGACGTAAACCCGCGAGGATCTTCATCTCTGTGTTTTATGTTCTTCTATATCGTGTTTATCTCCTCTCCTCCTTGATCTCAATCTTCGTCGTCCTATTTCTAACCGGTTTGTTATGAGTTGTATCACCTCTCTTTATTNAGCGTTGGAAACACTTCGTTCCTCTGCAGATGACAATGTAAATGTTCATTACTCCACACATATTACAATCATTATCTCTAAAGATGTATAACATAACCAATATCTAACAACGGAGTCATTACCTTTCCAAACTTTAATTTTTCCAAACCGCAACACACAAACTATTGCTTTATCACCGGCACTTCCAATAGCCTCACTGACATCAGTAGCAAAGTTACCCCAGAACACCATTGGTAGACGTTCATCCCTACAATAAATAAAAGATATTCAAAAACCCCTTCTCCAAGTAAACCATAACGGGTTAGTAGTATAAAACTATATAACATGGATAAATTACTTCTCGTTCCGAAGTTCCACAGTGATTTTCTTGGTATCTTTCCCATTAGCGGAAACAACTTCAATTGGGGTGACCTCGACAATCTGGCCTATTATATCTGTAAAAATAATAGATGTGTTACATAATGTTCGGGCGAATCAAATATTAAATATAATATAACTAAATTGTAACTACTTACCAACCAAATAGTCCGTATTGAGTGTACCATCCAGAATATCCCTGTACTTAGCTGGTTCAAAACCAGTTAGCTCATCAGGCAAAGCATCACAACACCTCACACGCGTTGTCGACAGAAACCCAAGTTTGTATGGATGTATGGTTGTTCGGTATGAACCGCATGAGGGGTTAAGCGCAAAGTTGATGATAATCTTCGAACTGCCTTCGGACAGAAAGGATTCAAACTGATTCACCAGATCCTTTTTGACGGAAGCCGTAATCTTAACACCCTACAAAAAGTTATAACAAAAGAAAAAATTAATAACAAAAGAAATTCTAAAAATATAAACAGAAAGAGGGGAAGAACCATACGTTCGAGTCGATTAGAACCATCTCGATAGTTAGACCACCAGCAGCTGAATACTGNTCCTCCTTGATCTCAATCTTCGTCGTCCTATTTCTAACCGGTTTGTTATGAGTTGTATCACCTCTCTTTATTCATATTACTCCTTCCTCAACTTTTTTCGTTGACGTTATTCATCTAGCTTAACCTTTCAACGCATTTTCGTCTCACGTTAGAAATCTAGCTTAACCTTTCATAACGATGACTTTCAAAAGTGAGGCAAATAAGGAAATTACTAAGTGAGAGTTCCTATCTAGCTGACACGTGTACTCGGTGGTGTGAAAGCATTAAATGCAATGCTTCTCTTTTAATATATAGGGGATAATAAAGAGCTACTTGCCAGGTGTCAATCATCAGCCGTCAGTGTACCATTCTGATCCTTTTAAAGAAAAAGTGTTTTGGTTTCCTAAAAATTAAATAGTTGCTTTAACTTTTATCTTTAGGAAGTATATTTATATTTGTTCAAAAAAGGAAATATATTTATACAAAGCCTCATATTCGACAGATATCATATTTTTTTCTGAAGAAAATATTATAGGTTTCTTCATATATACGAACTACCAATCACCAATAAATATGTAAACCTCCAAAAAATTAATGCCGTGATCGATATGTAGTATATAGAAAAAGGCATATCATATGTAATTTTCTTACAATATTATTATGTAGGAGTTGTATTCTTCATCAAGTATGATCATTTGAGATCCACTTCTATTTTCTTTTCGTAAACTAGAAGAATTCTAAATTAGAAGTAGATTTCACTCTAATGTATTTCTATAGTAGAGAAAAATATAGATGTAAATTAGATATGTTTTAGGCCTATCAATATATATATATATATATATATATATATATATTGAGTTCCAAAAGTGTATTAATTGGTTTTATAAATAAATTATATTTATCAGGTAATTCACTTTTTTAATTGAGCGTGGAATTTGTTTTCTAGACTAACTTAATTTAACATGATGTATTCGGAACTTTAGATACACTTGAGATTTATGGAATATTCATGAAATCTATACTATTAAAGCAGAATCCCTAATAGGATTATGTAGTTAATTTTTAATGATAATCACATTACCATGTCATTAGCCATTTCTAAAAAATAATTTACTTAAAGAAATAATCTAATTATATTTCCTACTTAATTACAAAATATATTTCCATGATTCAATAGTATTAATCAGCATAATATTTTGTGATATACTCACGAACTAGAAACATTTTTGTCAAAATATTAATGTATCATGCACAAAAAAACTTTAGTTTACTATATTTAGGTTCATTTAACTTAACGTAGGATTATATTATTATATTATTCTAAAATTAAAAAATAAATGATTTAAAACTATGCATATTTGTAGTTTATACACATCATTCTTATACAATTGGTTATACGTGATATATCATTCAGCTGAATATTATATTTAGTATGTTTATGATTTTCAGAACTACATAAAAGATTTTAATATAAATATGAAATATGTTCAAAATTCTCAATTTCCAAATAACAAACCTATTTTAATTTTGAAAATTCATATTATTTTGAATATTTGATAAGCTGAAATTATGGAAGCGCAACAAAAATTTAACAGTTTTGAGAATATATTTTTGTATTATTCATATTCACTATATAATTACAATATAGAAAACCACATTTATAAATCTTAGCAGGTCAAAATTTACACATTCAAAATGAAAATGACTTAAATATTTCAAAATTTAAATATTAATATTTGGAAACAAAAACTTTAAATTCAATTTATTATAAAATTTAGATTTGGCTAAAACTTGTATATAATGATATCAATCTTAATATTTAAATTTTGATAATATTTACATCGATAAGATATTCTAAATTTCAGAATTTTATACGAATGAAAGCTATAAAAATATCCGGGTTTAATTCTAAAAACCAGCACCAAACCTACTTTTATAAATATCAGGTTGTGGTTCATATTTTTATGTCTAACTTTTACGGATTATTTTATCAAATATAAAAAGTTTATTAAGTATGAGATAGGTTGAGTAAACATATAAATTCATAAAGTATCATAAGAATATTAAACAAATTTTAACTGATATAATATATACGATTTACTTTTTTTTAGCT